AATAGAATGCTCTTATGGTTTATTTGATGGTTTATACTCATTTCTTGATGGATTGTGCCTCTCCATAGTTTAATTAGTTTAATTTCATGTCATTAGCTTAATTGTAGTGTAGTTGTAGTTTAGATGTTAAATGGGAGGACAATCCATGCTTATTGTTTGATGTTCCATACTTATGAAAGCAAGTAGCACATATCTCTAACCTTGTGATGTGTTTGCTTATGAGCTTAAAGAAAGGATTAATGGCTTAATTTGATATGTTGTGCTATCCACCATGTTGCTTAGACAATATATACTTAATTTGTCATCCATGCTTGTTGAAACAACCACACACACACACTTTGTTACAATACATGTTTTCCCCCTCATTAATCATTCATTAAGGGTGTAGAAAAGCTATGCTTAGTGGTGATCTCTAAATCCCAAGATCTCTCTCTTATTTTCTCTCCATTACATTTAATTGCCTACTTTAGTTTAAATTGCATCTTAGTGTAATTTAACCACCAACCAATCTTTTGATCACTCGACTTACTAACCCTAATCTTGATTCCTCAACCTAGTACGACCCACCAATCCCTTGGGACGATCCCTACTTGCCCTAACTATATTTTTAGTGAAAGGTAGTAGTGGCAATTTCTAAATGTAAAACTTGGCCACATTCATCATAGCTCTACACCACTATCTTTTAGTGCACAAACTTTGGGTCGGTGTGCGATAACCACCAAGATTCATAGATAGGTGGAAAATCTATTCTTGTTCTTTGGTGTTCCTTACTTATGAATGCAAAGGGTGTATGTTTCTAGGTAGTTGTGTGTGCATAAATTGTGGTTTCATTGAATGGATTTTGGTCTCATTTGATAAGTTGTGCTTTCCATTTGAATTGGCTAGACAATCTATACTTATTTGTCATCCATTCCTAGCTTCGATTAATGTCACACACACACAAGTTACAATTCAATTTCCCCATTGATATACAATTGCTAGTGTCTAGTGAAGTCAAGCTTAGTGGTAAGCTCTAGTACCCCAAGTGCTCTCGTCTATATCTTTTTCCCTACTTTCTAAATTGTTACCTTTTACTTGCTTTAATTTCAATTGCATTGTAGTTTAATCAACCAAACAAACCATCTTTTGATCACTCGACCTACTAACCCTATATATTATTTTCATTACAAACACGCCCACAATCCCTTGGGACGATCCCTACTCATCATAGCTATATTTTTAGTTAGAGGTAGTAGTGGCATTTATAAATTTAAAACTTGGCCACATTGCATATTCACATTCTTAGTACATTTTTAGGCTTTAGTCTGATGACACACCAATAGGCTAACCAACATAGGAGGTAATTTGGCACTTTCCAGGGTAGTTGCTATACTTGTGGAGAGCTTTATCCCTATTGCACATGTTGTCCCTATCCCTATCCTACTTTAGGATACTGTAGAGAGTTTGGTCACACTTCCAGGCAGTGTCCTAAAGTAGGATAGGGATAGGGACAACATGTGCAACAGGGATAAAGGGCACCATTACATTTACCGTTCCATAGATTCCACAGATTTAACGGATTCAGGGACAGACGTATCTGGCTTTACCAACACCGCCACAACTACAAGGGCAGGCATCACAATAGTTACATTATGCCAGGGTGTAAAACCCCATGCCACAGGATGTTCTAGCGCCTTAAGCTGGTGAGGGTATGTTTCCTATCTATGGTAGATCTGGTCATGTTTTATTTGGTACGGGTGCTATACATTCATTTGTGTCTAGTACTTTTGTTGCATTATCTGGGATGACGACGCGAGTGTGCGATAGACCTCATGGTATTTCTACACCTATGGGTGATACAACTATTTTACATGAGAGTGATGGGCCTGTGACACTAGATATTGGTAGACTTCGATTTCTAGCCAATCTATTTGTCCTGGACATGCACACTTATGATGTGATACTCAGGATGAATTGGTTATCTCATTACCATGCCCAAGTTAATTATTATGAAAGGTTTATTATTTTCACTATACCTGATCAGGATATATATGTCGTTGCTATGCCATAGTCTCACAGGGTTTCTAGCACTTGTTTGTTTTATATGAAGGAAGAGACCGAGGAGGAGGTTACTGCGTCACTGGATAGTATACTAGTTGTATAGGAATTTCCAGATATTTTTCAAATGATTCCAGGGTTACGGATGAGCGTTGAATATTACATATTCGAGCCCCTAAATATATGTATGTTAAAGCCTAAAGTAATACTTCTATCCATATTTAGACTGATTTATGCTTAATGTGTGTTTGTAGGTACTTTCCTAGAGAGATAGTTAAAATTGGGACTTTATGATGATATTGAAGCTTACAGAATCATTGTCGGTCATCCAGAGCAAGCCGAGAGCTTAAATGGTGAAGTTTAGAAGAATTCAAAATCCAAAGCTCGAGCCCAAGTCTTGAGGCTCGAGCCTTACAAGTCAAAGAAGACAAAAATCAACTAGGCATTAAAGCTCGAGCCTTGTAAATTCATGCATGAGCCTGAACAAAGGGTGCTCGAGCCTTGACCCTTAAGCTCGAGCATAAGGCATCGGAATTTAAAGAGTTGATTTCCAAGCTTCCACACCTCGTGCCTAACCTCAAGGATCGAGCACCAACAATTAAAGCTCGAGCCGTGAGTACCAAATGTTTGAGCCTGGTACCTAGTGCTCTAGCTTATGAAGCTTTGATCGAGCAGTGTTAAAAGATTTCAATCCCAAGAATATTCTAAGTGTTGAAGAAAAAGCCGCTTCAGAAAATAATTGAAGAAATTTGGCTAAGTGTCAAAGTGAAGATCGAGCACTAATTTTTGAAGCTCGAGTATCGATCCAGAAAAACTCAAGCCTTGTTCCATAAGCTCGAGCCTGAACCTTAAAGCTCGAGCCTTTGATCCTAAAGCTCGAGCCTTCCATGACATGTCAGATTTAAGTTACGGGAATGCTCTATTTTTCAGCCGTATCTCATTCCAGATGGGACAGAAGACCTGAAAGCGCACTAGATCTTTATTTTCTTCTATAAAAGAAGGCTTAAGCCTTGATAGAAGAGGTCTAAAATTCCAAGTCCTTTTTGTTGTCTGATTCAGAAGGTCGATACTATGGTGGCTTTTAGGGTTTCCACAACCTTAGAAGGTGAAGATCCTGAGAAAAAAAGTGTCGTCCATGACGATTGAGACAACTCTAACATAGATGATATTCGACATCGTCATGAGTAGCTAATTCCTTTCTTAGAGCATTGATGTAACCCAATCTAGTATTATGGTTTGATTGTTCTTGACTCTGGGATTATTTTAATATATTATGTTTTCTTGATTGTATGACTATGAGCAATTGAGACAACTCAATTGGTTTTCATGCTTTAATAGATTACAAACTGTTATTACCTTGTCTTAGATATAATTATTTGTTTTCTATTTTCGACCTATTTTATTAGACAGTATCTGGCAGAGCCCTGCCAGACATGAGAATAGAGGTCATATAATGGTGTTCCAATGTTTTTTATAAAAGAATGTTTTCATAATCTATGCTTAGGAAAGGTGGATTATTTGTAAAGTAGTTAAAGTAGTTAGAGTAGGTAGGTGGATAATCCATGCTAACCACAGATAGGTTATAGTTAACTAAATTTTGTAAAACATCTTTCTTTAAAACCCGAATTAAATGAATGTTATTGAGTTCAATTCATTTGAAAAACATAATTGGTAAATACCCAGAGTTGATACAATTAACCATAATATGATGATTGTGGTGAAGTCAACGCCCTAAGATTTCTCTCTCTGATCATTTAATTTACTCTAGTTTAATACTTCGTTTCAATTTTAGTTTGTTTTTAATCCTGACAACCAAGTAAACTTTTCAACTATTTATCTGTAAACCATTAGGACTAAAGTAAAAACTAAATACTAATCTCATCTCCCTATGGGTTCGACATCCTCTCTACATAGATTTATCCTACACGGAATCATTTTATTGTGAGTGGTAAAATTAGACACACCAATTTTTGGCACCGTTGCCGGGGAGATTTGTTTTAGTTTAGCTTTTAATTAAGTTATTTTGGTTTACCAGTCTTCGGACTTTCTGATATCTCACCTTAATTCTTTTTGCTTTCAAGTACAAGGAAGTAGCAGTGAGGACAAAGACGCTTAAGGGATAAAAAGTTTCAGTTTATTAGACCTTTTGTGAGTTTTACTATTTTCTTTTTACTTGGAAAATTTTATTTTTGTCACTTTTAGGATTAGTGGAATTAATGCATGTTAACTCATCAAATTCGGTTAAAACCTTTAGTGCATGATCCTAAAATAGAGAGAACTTTGAGTCAATTAAGAAAACTTTAAAAGCATTTGAATAATATAGATAGTTCCTTTGATAACATGGCTGAACATCGTGATGCACTGGGTAATGGAAATGGTAATGGTAATAGTAATGGAGGATGGGTTCCACTTGTCCCTCTATAACCACAATTGCGGGACCATTTCATTCTTACCACATACACTTCTCCTTCGTGCTTTGTATTTCCGGACGCTGATGCAACCCATTTTGAGATCAAGCTTGCTATGATCCAAATGTTTCCTACCTTCCATGGGTATGCAACAGAGGATCGTTATACGTACTTGGATGTATCTTTGGACACTACAACATATTAGGCTTTTACCAGCGCTCTTTAGAAGAACGCTGGTATAGGTGAACTAATACCAGCGCTCTTCTTAGAAGCGCTAGTATAGGTGTAATCATACCAGCGCTTTAGCAAAAAGCGCTGGTATAGGGGTAATCGTACCAGCGCTCTTTTTAGGAGCGCTGGTATAGTTGTAATTATACCAGCGCTTTAACAAAAAGTGCTGGTATAGGGGTCATCATACCAGCGCTTTTCTCTAAAGTGCTAGTATAGGGGTAGTAGTTATACCAGCGCTTTAAAAAAAAGCGCTGGTAATGGCCCTTCCATTCCCTAACTTTTTTCCCTTTCCCTCCAATTTTTCTTTTCCTTCCACTTTTTTTCGCTTCCTACCACTTTTTCCTTCCACTGTAGAATATTTGGGGCCTTTTACTACATCATTTTTTTGGGCCATTAACACTGTATTCACTTTCCCATTTCATTTTGCAAGCCCTAACGTTCTCTCTCCTTCCATTATAGCTCTCTCTCCTTCCATCACCGATCTCGTCCAATCTTATAATCTGTTTTGTTTTCCATCACAGCTCTCTCTCCTTCCATCACCGGTCATCACAGCTCTCTCCCCTTCCATCAGTCAGCGTTTCAAAACCCGAATTTTAATCAGAATCCAATGCTTTAAAACTAGTGGCTTGGTTTAGAGAGACAAAGTCATTGCTATTGCACACACAAAGAGAGAAAGAGTCATCGTTGGGGGTTTCCAAAACCTTGTCTACACTAACAGATCGGAGTAGAATTTTTTTAGGTTAGTAACTGTTCACCTTCTAATTTTGATTACCTGTGTAGATCACTATACCTAAGATTGTTGTTATTCTGATGATAATATTGAGTAAATTCAGGGTTTTATGTGGATTTGTTATTTGAAGTGTTTTAGTTTTTAGATTGCATTTGTGAATTTTACGCTATATTTAAGGGTTACATCTGTTTAGTGCACTTTCAATGGCGTAATTATCTATACACACACAGATCAGGTTGCTTCCTTTTACTTTTCCCTTTATCTATTACGAATTTCGTTTGAATCTGTTTGGCAAAAATTTAATCTCTTTGCTTGAAATCTGTTGAACTTGTAAGGGGATATTAAATTTAATCTATTTTCATATATTATGTTGTGTTTGGAGCATAAATCCTTTTGGCTGTTGAAATTATTGTTTTAGTTCAAACTTTTAATTATTTTTATTTTTATTTTTGCGGTTGAAATTCATAATTGTTGTTTTACAGGAGTGGTTTAGTTTTTTGAATATCTTGCAATTGAGCGTCTTCCTTGCTTTACCTGTTCTCTGTCTTTAATCTCTCGGCTTTCTTCAAGCAGACTCTTCCTTCGCATCTTCAAGAGCATAAGTCAGGTATGAAAGTCGTTTTTCTACATCTTGCCTTGGAAACTTTTGGTCATGAAGGCCCCTGCAACATCAGTAAATGCAATTTTGGTGTCCTACGACAATCGTTGAACATCAAATGTGTTCCCAAACTCCAGAATGTCAGGCCTTAGAGTTGTCTAAATTGTTGTCTGATAAAATAGTGTTTGACCATATATAGTATGCAAAACATTTTTTTTTATAAAAAACTATTTTAAAAAACTTTCTTTATTCTTTTGTGTTATAAACAAATCTAAAAGAAAATGTCACATTAAAATAACTTTTTGTGTATAGCAATTTCAAACAAATAAATAGTCATTTGTATGCTGGTGTAAAAAAAAAAAAATTGTATGTGAATTTCTTGTATCAATTTTTTTGTATGCTGGTTAAAAATAAATAAATTCAGACCAACAGTTGGCTAACCCTCCTTCTGTTCATGAGTATTTGCTCCACTCATGAATCATGGCAAGGTTGTTGTACGGCTGGAATTTACACCCTGACCTAGACTTGTGCTAATGAAAACTTAGAAACATAAATTAATCTTTCAATAGGATCATTGCCAATGTTAGTAGTAATATGGTAATAAACTCTTATGTCTCTTTCAAATTTACCTCTTGAGTTACATTTTATATACTCGACTTCTGTTTTGAAGAAGTCTGTTTCAGATTGGTTTGCAATGGAGGCATTGTTATGCTTTCATGACGCCTAAAATACATTGCTAATGTCTTGTAATGGCTTTTTGTTATGGCAGGTATGATCTAGCGAGAGAAGTTGAAATAGGAAATAAGGACGTAAAGCTTGAATACCTAGAAGGAGCATTCACAACATCCAACTGGATAGTTTAGATTTACAAAGTCAAACCACCAAATAATAGGTAGTGATTAACATAACCCCTCCTCCCTTTTATATAGGACAGAAGGAACATGGTTGATGAATTTTGAGAGCTTCTTTAGTCTAAGAACTATTTAAAGATATACACATTTTGCCATTGAGTTTGTGTTTTTAACATTCGAGGCTTATATTTATTTGTTAGAATCCTTTATGTTGAAAATTTTATATTGCCTCCTTGCCTAATATTTATCATGTCTTTTGATCAAGTAAATGCCCAGATCCTAGACTGCTTGGGACGATGTAAGTGACTGGCTTAGTAGATCATAAAGTCAAGATTGGACATTGGACCATTTCCTCTATGAAGGAGAGCTTCTTAAGATGAAACTAGATAACTATTCTCGTAAACAAATGAATCTGTGTTGGGTCGTCATGATTTTCCTTGTTATGTATTGGGTGTCTCAATTTTAGTTTTCATTTACTTATTTTTCTACTTAAGTTTTATTTTTATTTTTTGTTCTTGATGCTCTTGCTTTATTTTTTTATTTTTTATTTTTAAATCTGATTTATATAACATATATGCAATTTCAGGGGCTGGATTTCAATTCAAAAGCAAGTATTTGTTTGGGAAAGTAAATATTCAGATCAAGCTTGTAGAGGGTGACCCTGCAGGGACTATCACTGCTTTCTATGTGAGTTTCAATTTTCAATTATTATTTTTCGTGAATTATATTATATTTATACACACAAACATATACACGAACTAGGTTTAATGCAGTTATAGTTTTGGTACATTATGTCATTCAGTGCATTTATTTAAGTGTTCAGTTGCAGAAAATAGAAAACTTGACATCGCTTAAATTCAAGAACTGGGGTAGTCTTAGCTGGCTATTCCTTTCAGCTCGTGAATTGGATTAAATTCCATTTATTTTTCACATTTAAAGCCTACCCACCTAGTATTTTATCCGTGAACCATTCATTTCCTCCAAAAAAAAAAAGCAAAAAAAATAATGACCAGTTTTGCTTTACTCTTTTATTTCATTGGGTCAAATCTATTTCTTGTAAAATTAGAAGATTATCACTCTCTAATTTGCTTTATGTTAATTGGTAATTGACTGTGACATTGATGATGATGATGACTAGCTTTGCTTTACTCTTTTTTGAGCTGTTGATGTTGATATTTTGTTTTTTGTTTTGATGTGTGCAGATGTCATCAGACGGCTTAAATCACAATGAGTTCAATTTTCGCTCCCTATTTTGTTTGTGGCTTCAATATTTTCTTTCAAGAATATTGCAATATCTCAATTAGTTGATAAAGCAATTTATAGTAGTGATAAAATAATTATGATGATTTCAGCAACTTTTTACTAAATGGCGTTTTTGATCTCTCTCTCTCTCTCTCCTTTTATTTAAATTGGATTCTTTGTAGGGCTCTGCAAATCATCTAATGCCAAGGACTGACTCTTGATTACTTTAGGACAATTTCATTTACATCCCCATCTACCTTGACTTTAATGTGTTTTAAGGACATAATGTGTTTTAAGTACTATTTCTTTAATTCGTTGCATGTATTTTGTTTGTATTTTGTTCACAAATATTAGAAAAAAGAAAGTTTGAAGTTTGATGAGTTCTTTTGAAGAAACTTGTGGTTGTGTTCTTTAATTGGTTGCATGTATTTTGTTTGTATTTTGGTTTCAACAGAACAAGGGTTATGACCATAAAAGAGATCCATGTGCAGTTTTCAATGTGTTGGATTCAATGCTGAAGGGTAGCTTGGAGCGGTTGAAAACAATGAGGTTAGTTTTTGCCTATGAATGACATGATGTGAAACATGCTAGACAATATAAGTATGGAATGCATCCAATATGGAAAACACAGGCATTGGGCATGTATGAGATAGCATCAAACACAAGAGATGGTGTGTGAAATGTGTGAAGTATATCTGTGAAGTTCGATCGATCACAAAAATGTGATATCGATTCAAGTTCGATTGATCGAGAATAAGTGAGATCGATCTGTTACAGATCGATAGAATAAAAAGTTCGATCGATCGAACTATGAGGTGAACTCGAAAAGTCACAGATTTGTGACGCGGATGGCACGAGGCCTTCAAGAACATGGTCGTGGGCCCATCTACACAACAAATCAACATATTTGGTCACTTGGTTAGGCCCATAACCCCCAAATTCAAATCAAATCAAGAACTATTCAAAAACATATATACATATATACATATATATACATATATATACACAGAGGTTCGAAGCTTCATCTATGGCGATACGCATCATCAAAACAACATAGATCTAACATTTAAAGCATGGATTCATCAAATCAAACCTTGAAGTCACAGATGAGATCTTGGATCTTGCCGGAATCGAAAGAGAAGGTGAGATGAAGATGAGATCCTAGATCCGAGAAGAGAGAGAGAGAGATTCGACACTTGGGATGGTCGCCGGAGATGGAGAAAAGTTGGGATGCAGCAGCGAAGGGTGAAACGAGGGTTTGAGATTGATTTTTTGTGAAATTGATCGAATGACCCTGAATTGATTTTTAAAAACATTCCCATACCAGTTCGATCGATCGAACTGAATCCTCAAATCGATCGAACTGAAATCGATCTCTTCTCTTAAGTAACAAAATATTTTTGGGATTTTTTGAAAAATAAAAATAAATAAAATAAATAAAAGTAAAAGTATTTTTAGGATTTTTGAAAAATATTTATTTATTTATATTATTTGTATTATTTTTATTTTTATTTTTTATTATTATTTTTTTTATGGAAAAATAGAAAATTAAAAATGACAATAAAAATAATATATATATATATATATATATATATATATATATACATTTAAAATTTTTGAAATTAAAAATTTAAAACAAAGTCAAAATTGAAAATCAAAGAACAAAGATCGATTTCTCCAAGATCGATCTCACAATACTTTCAATCGATCGAGAATGCAAAGATTTGAAGAAATGTTCGATCGATGAGACAAAGAGGCTTTTGGATGTAGGTGGATGCAGGTTCAAAATTTTTCTAAGTGTTGGAACTGCAGATCGATCCAAGATAAAGTTGGATCGATCAAAGAACTAAAGATCGATCTAGAAACAAGTTCGAACGATGGGACAGAGAGCTGAAATATGCAGGTTTTGTTCGAACGATTGGACAAAGAGTGATTTGGATGCAGGTTTGATGCAGGTGGGAAGTTCGATCGATCGAACTTATGCAAAATGCTTAATTTCAATATAAAAGTGCATGCAATCCTAATCACAGTTCCTAGCAATGCATATGAACCCAAAGCCAATATCTAGACTTCGCAAGAAATGAATTTAAAGATAGAAATGAGGAAGGAATAGGGTTTTGACACCCTACGAAATGTCTGGCTAGTCTTTAACGTCTCTAGCAAGACGTTGGGCTCGTTTAGCCCGGATCAAACATCTTATAGTGCATCCCCTCCTTGATGGGGTGACAAGTGTTTTCAACTCCACCCAACAAATGGTTCTTTAAGGAACTTGTTGGATTAAGCTCAAAAGAAGTTTTCGGTCCATGGTCATAATGATCTTTGGGCTTCCATGCCCTTTTAAAACAAGACTTTGAAACAAATTTCTTTGGTTTCAAGGTTGAAGATGAGCTTTTTGGAATTTTGGTTTCAAGCAAAGACTCTATTCCTTCATATTCATGGTCATGACATTTCTCCACAACATTAACTTCTTATGCTTGTCAAATGAATTGGGGGTTGGATTGAAGATATTCAACTTCACCTTCATGTGGCCAAATGAGTTCTTCATTATCCATGTCCTACAATTAATGTTGGTATTTGCGGTTGCCAAGACAAGACGGCCAAGGATAACGGGAATTTGGCTCTTAGGATTTGGGACCGGTTCCGTGCCAATGACAACGAAATCAACGGAAAAGAAGAATTTATCAATCTTAATCAATACATCCTTAATGATACCCCTAGGCTTTTTGATGGATCGGTCGGCAAGTTGTAAAACCATCGACGTCGGTTTCAAGTCTCCTAAGCCAAATTTGACATATACCGAGTATGGAAGAAGATTAACACTTGCTCCTAAGTCAAGAAGAGCCCGATTAATGATATGATCTCCAATGATGCAGGAAGTGGTAGGTGAACCGTGGTCCTTAAACTTCGGAAGAGTGTTATGCTACAAAATTGAGCTTACTTGCTCGGTTAAGACCACTTTCCTAGGTGCTTGGCTTTTATTCTTCCTCTTTTGGGTGCATAAGTCTTTTAGAAACTTGGCATAAGCTAAAATTTACTTGATTGCATCCAAAAGTGGAAGATTGACTTTCATTTGCCTAAACACATCCATAATTTCATTTGTTTTGGCCTTTTGCTTGTCAATTGAAATGGATCCTTTTAAGGCATCCAGGAATGGAGCTCTTGGTTCAAAAACCTTTTCAGACATTTTCTTTGAAGTCTCTTCAACACAAGAAGTTTTGAAATTATTTTGCAAATTTTTCTTTTCAAAATCACTTTTCAAGATATTCTCATTTGAAAAATCATACGTATGCAATGAAGGAGGAATAGGATGTGAAACGGGATGGGTGTCAACTTGTGGTTGCACCGGTTCACTCTCATCATTGGACATACCCACTTGGTTGTCCACAATCTTCCTACTTCTCAAGGTAGTCACCGTGTTGACATGCTCTATTGTGTGACCTTCCGATGAGGAATGAGTCTCCACAACACATTGTTGCTTTTATGGGGCATTCAAAGGCATTTTCCCTTTCTCTCTAGCATTCAAAGTACTAGCTATTTGCCCTACTTGGGTTTCTAGCTTAGTAATTGATTGAGAATGAGAATGAAACAATTGAGTGTTAGCCTCTAGAGTGCCTAGAGCGGTCAAAATTTTCTCTTCAAAAGCGGGACTCCTAGCATTTCCTTGAGAATATGATGGTTGATTAGGAAAATTAGAATTAGAGAATTGATTTCCTTGTGATTGGAATGGTCTATATCCTTGGGAACCTTGGCTTTGCATTGGAGGTGGAACATATTTCCCTTGGAAACCACCTTGGGGAGGGTTTGAGCCTTCCCCTTGGTTTTTCCAAGAGAAATTCGGGTGATTCCTCCAACTAGGATTATAATGATTGCCATAAGGGTTGTTCCCTTAATTAACAAAAGTTGCATTGACTTTTTCATGATGTTCACTTTGCACATGTCCATGGGGACAATTGGAAGTAGAATGTAAAACACTTGAACAAGTCATACATGTCTCATTGGATGCATGATGGGAATGGTTAGGGACGGAAGATACTTGATTTGCCGAGTTTTGGTTGATCAAGAATTGATCAAACCTTTGAGATAAGGATTTCATGTTGGCGGCTATTTCGTTGGAATGGTCGACTTTATGTAAGCCAACACTCTTCCTTCCACTTGAATTCATACTATTCTTGGAAGATAAAGTTCAATGCAAGGAATTTTCACTCATGCTCTCATAAAGACGCAACACGTCATCCTCATGCCTATCAATGTAAGAGCCACCCATGAAAGCATCAACCATGCCCTTGTAATTGTCCGATAAGCTCTCAAAGAAATATTAAACTAATTACCATTTGGGCATGTCATGATGTGGACACTTCCTAAGCAATTCCTTGAATCTTTCCTATGCCTTATGGAACGTTTCCCCATCCCCTTGTGAAAACTCTCGAATTGAGGTTCTCATGGCATTGGTCTTAGAAACCGGATAGTATTTCTTCAAGAACTCTTGTTGCATTTCTGCCCAAGAAGTTATTGAAAAGGTGTAAGATTGTTAAACCAATATTTTGCCTTGTCTTTAAAGGTGAATGGAAAAAGTTTAAGCCTTAAGACCTCTTCCGGCATGTCCGTGTATCTCACGGTGGAACATTCTTCAAGAAACTCATCCAAATACTGTAAGGTTCTTCACTTGGAAGTCATTGATAGTTAGGAAGCATTTAAATGGTTTGTGGTTTGATCTCAAAGTGGTGTGCTCTAAATGGTGGCAATTGAATGCATGTGGGTGCATTGTATTCATTAGGCACATAGTGATCTCTTAAAGCAAGAGGAGGATTATCAATTGGAGGTGCAACATGGGCACCTTGATTGCCTTGAATGATGGGAGGTGGTGGAACATAGATTGGCCTTGGGATTCAAAATGGAACTTGGCCTTGTTGTTATGGTGGATGAACAAATGGCCTCGGCATGCCTAATGGAACTTGTATGTTATCATGATGCACATTGGGGTGGAGGATGCCTTGTTAGACTATGTGACCAAGGTCCTCCACATTGTCCTCATTATGTCCTTCCATTGATGAAATGGATTAACTAGGACTTCCTCTTCCTCTAGGGTTTCGAACAACGGATTCAAGATGAAAATTTAGAGGAACAAGAGTGGGTCTCAATGATCTACGACCATGCATGCATAATGCAACACAACAAGCAATAATGACAAACATTTCACCTTCACAACAAATCAAAAATCAACAAACTTCCTCCATATACAATGTTCCCATACTCCCATGCTATCAACAATATGCAAGAAAAGTAAATTGTGTCCATGTGGGCTCACAATTTATCTAAGAATTAAAATATAAGCCTCCACGTGGGCCGATGATTTAACTAGAGATTGAGTTAAGAAAGAGCTCACAAAGGATCCTTTAGCACTTCAATTTATTTTTTAGTTTTTAGCCTTGTAAATTTTTAGAATTTTGCATTTTTCCTTTGTTTTTGCTTAGCTCCTTGCTTAGAATACTCCTTTGCTCACCTTCTTGCTCAATGCACCTAGTCAAACAAAAAGTAACACAATAAGTAAT